CAACAGAGGAATGGATAATCAAACTATGGTACATATACACAATGGAATACTGTGCAACTCTAAAGAATAATGTAGAATCTGTAAAACACTGCATAACATGGATGAGCTTGGAGGACATTATGCTGAGTGAAATAAGTCATCACAGAAGGACAAATATTGTATTAATCCATTATTGTATAAAAGTCAAGGAAAGGTTTATATCTGCAAGGAAATTTTCTTTGTTGATTACCAGGGGTGGGAGGGGAAGGGAGGGGAGGGGAGGGAACACTGTTAGATAGGTAGAGACAAGTATTGATTTGGGTGAAGAGAAGGGTAATGCACCAAATGTGAGTGATCAACATGGTGGCATTGAGGAAGAGGAAGACATAGAATGATGGATGGAAGGTACAGACAACAAAGATGAACCCTTTTGTATATGTAGTGTACAAAAGCATTGTCAGTGAAGGCAAACGTTGATGTACATATGGGTGGATAGATGGGTGGATGGGCTGAAATATTAGGTATGTCTATGCAGGGGGTAGAGTACCCATGACCATGTATAGGGTTGGCAGACAATGTTTCTACAAGTGTATTTTTATATTCTGTAGGATTTCCCAGGTATATAGTAGAGCTAACAAGGGACAAGGTTATAGTGACTTCTTGGCCACAGCCAGCTGCCCGGAGGGAGAGAGTATTTGGACCTGTGGCCTCGGGACTATGGTTTCAGGGAACATCAAGGTCATTTGGCATAACGTATTACACAAAAACACTGTTACACATACTACTTTGGCTAGTATTTACTGGGATCTTAAAAGTTTGAAAGTGGCCATCTAGATGCAACAATGGCTCTGTCCTCATCCAGAGCAAAGAAGAATGAAGAAAACAAAGACACATGGAAACAATTAGTCCAAGGGACTGGTACACCATGCAGTCCTCAGTTCATCCTATATGACTATCAGACCAGAAGAACTAGATGGTGCCCTGCTACCACTACCAACCACTTGGAGGAGGATCTCTGTAGGAGATCCTGGACAGAGTGGAAGAACAATGTGGAACGGAACTCAAAACTATAAAAAAAAAGGGATTAAGTTTGCTGGTCTGATAGAACCCCTAAGACTATGGCCCCTAGCTGCCCTTCAGGTCTGAAATTGAACCTACCCTTGTGGCTTCCAGCCAAACAAAAGACAGCCATATTAGTTGAACATTTACATTAGGTAGATACACTCCTTGGAGAGAACAATCATGGGAGAACAGAAGGGCTATGTATATACAAGGAGACAATTAAGGGGCAGGAGTGCATGGAGGGAAGGACACAGACAGGGAAGAGGTAACTGTGGGGAGGAAGTGGAAGGGGAGCTGTTTTATTGTGGGAAATTGCAGTCAATGTCATGAGACAAAGTGTATGTGAACTGCTGTATGGAAAATGAATTTACTCTGTAAACTTTCACCCAAATCACAATAAAATTGAAAAGAAAAGAAAAAATATATTTTATGCCTCTTAAATGTGGCTATAATTAGACTTAGAGAAGAGTTGGTTAGCTCTTCATTGTGTATTCTCATATAGACCCAAAATTTCTTTTTCATATACTTTAAATTATTTTAAATTTAAAACTGTGACATAATTGAATGCATGCAGTCTTTAGTTAACACGTCATGAATAGAAAACAGGAAATATTTACTCATTATGTCAAACAAAGAATATTTTAATACAGTAATAGACCCAGACCAGACTCACTGCTGTCAAGTCAATTCCAACTCATAGCGACCCCCATTGGATTTCCAAGGCTGTAAATCTTTAAGGAAGTAGATTGCCTCATCTTCCTCCTGCAGAGCAGCTAGTGGGTTTGAACTATTGACCTGTTGGTCAGCAGCCAAAATGCCTTATCCATTACACCATGAGAGCTCCTTAATGCAGTCATACATTCCTTTAAAAGAGTAGGGTTAAATATAAATTATATACATATGCTCAATATATACATTACATACAGGGAAGACAAACAAAAAATTATGTGATCCTCACAATTTCCAACTGTTTATATTCTGTATTACAACAGCTTATATTTAAATACCATGTATCTTGGTTTAATAAGTATAAATTATTATATAATATTCTAAATAAATGAACGTATATAATACATTTGGCATTTTCTCAAATAACTGTCAGCATATCCTTTATTTTTCCCTAAGTTTTTATGTAAAAGAGTTAAATCAAGTTGATTAAATCATTTCAATTCTAAAGTGGGGCAGGGGGCACAGAAGAGAGGATTAGCTCATCAGGCAGGATGACTTAGGTCATGGTTTATCCGAACATAACTCAAGTGCTGTGTTGTCCAAGTCTAAAAGTTATGGTCATGTCAGGGGTCAGTGCCAAAATGTCTTTTATCATGAGTTGGAGCTCCTTATTCCTGCAGCTGGCTAAGCTTTCGTTGGCCAGTTGGAATTATTCAGGGCATTATGGTTTTTAAGTTCGTAATTGTCTTTAGTGTTCTGGCTTATTTGGTTTATGAAAATGACTGTACTAATTTGTGTTAGATACACAGTAATATTTCTGCTTAGAAGGAAAAATCCATTTATAATGTATGTTTCTGACAATAACTGTATAAACAGAAATAGAATCCATGTGAAACATAGAGATGCATTTGAAATAAGTAAGAGTTTGGCAAATAAAATGAAGGAAGGGTGTAAAGAAGTATTTTTAAACTGTGGGTTGTAACCCACTCTTGAATAGCAAATTTAATTTAAAGGGTCTTTGAACCCTCTTAAGATTCTTAGACGCCAGTCCTGTCTTCCACGGTGCCTCTTGGCTTGGAACTGCCAACCTTTCGGCTAGTAGTCAAGCGCATAACTTTGCCATCCAAGGACTTTTGTACTGAAGTATGTGTGTATGCTGGGTTTGGTTATACTGGGTTAAAAGGTTTTTTTTTTTTTTTTCCTTCTGTAATTATCTTTTTTATTGACCTTGAACAAAACCAGCCTGTGGGCCATTGGTATAAAGAGGATGAGCTTGCCTTGCAGCTATAAAACTCTAAGAAATGAATTTCTATGATCCTTTTATCACTTGGAAAATAGAAATAATCAAATTTACCTCACTAGGCTAATGTAAAAACTAAGTTAAGTGATATGTATTAAAGCACATAGAATGGTTCATGGTTCATCTATTAGACAATAGATGATAATTATTTTATGGGCAGTAACTTTGTCAGTAATAACAGTAATTTTTGACATTCCATAATGCATTAAATTTATGCCCAAGAGTCTTGAGACTTCTGCTGTGGATACACAGGTATTCAAAATTATACATCAAAGGACAAGGATCTGGACTCTGCAGTCTGGTAGAGCTATGGTAGTAAATAAAAAAAATAAATTCACATTTGTCTGGAATTATTCCTTCTATGCCAGTAGCTCCTAGTTGATTGGGAATCCATTGGTCATTCAGCCCTTTAGCCATCTGTTCCATACAACTCTTTTGTTGCCAAGTGTACCTCAAAGGTTAGTTGGGGTTTGATTGACTTTAGGCCTTGCTATGTACATGTATCTGATTTCAGATGCTTCTCTGTAACTTGGAACTAGCAATTTATTGTGAACAAGTTTCAGTTAAATTACCACCAGCTTGGTTATTAGCAATAATCAACAATGGTGAATGACTACCATTCAAGTCCTCCACCCTTGTCTTGGAACAGGCACAGTTAATGGGTTTCAGAGAAAAGTGAGGGCCATATTAACCCACACCACAGTCATTTGTTCTTGTTTCTCTAGTTAAATGTCTGCCATGTGTCTCCAGATTTTACTTATATTTTCTTCTTTCTTACTCCTGGGCAAATTCCTTGATAGCAGAAAAGATATCTTACTCATTTCACTGACAAATATTTGGCATAAATAGATGTGTCCTGATGATCCGTATATAAATCATATTGTAACACTCACTTTTTTTGGTATAATTTTCCCTGAAGCACAAAATATTTAATCCTTCCGAGCTGATTTTTAAGGAGCTTTGGTGACACAGTGCTTAGGGCATTTTACTGCTAACCAGAAGGTTTGCAGTTCAAACCCACTAGCCGCTTCATGGAAAGAGGATGAGGCAATCTACTTCTGTAAACATTTACTGCCTTGGCAACCCAATGAGGGTTACTAAGAGTCAGAATTGACTCAACAGCAGTGGGTTTGACTTTTTTTTATTTTTTTCTGGAGCTGATTTATAGCTTGCACTGCCAAGAGCAGAGAAAAGTAAAATATGAAAGTGGTCCCTCATATGTTCAATTATGTCTACGTTGTTTACAGTAGTCATAGGGTATATCTAACTCTGCTATACTGGAGTTACAGATAATTTGATTGTTCAATACCCAGGAAATGTATGTTGTTGTTGTTAGCTATGGAGTGCCTGGGTGACATAAATGGATGAAGTGCTCAACTACTAACCAAAAGATTGGAGGTTTGAACCCACACAGAGATGCCTTCTAAGAAAGACCTGGCAATCTTCTTCTAAAAGGTTATAGCCTTGAAAACTCTACGGGGTGCAGTTCTATTCTGCATACATCAGGTTACCATGAGTTGGAATCAGCTCAATGACAAAGAGTTTTGATCTTATTTTGGTTGTTAGCTGTCATACAGTTGGCCTGTAACTCATGGTGACCCCATACACAGCAAAGCCAAATGTCCTGTACAACCTCCATGATCAGATTGCTGTAATTCAAGGGTTTGTATTAGCAAGTAGATCATCAAATCTTTTCTCCTGGTCTCTGTTAGCCTGGAAGGGCCACTGACACCTGTTCAGCATCATAGCAATGCCCAGCCCTCCACTGACAGAATGGTAAGTGGTGGTTGCTCTTGAGATGCACTGGCTGGGCATTGAACCCAGGTGTCTAGCATGGGAGGCAAGAATTCTATCACCGAACTGCCACTGCCTCCATTTGAAATATATGTTTCTCTACATAGTCTATGCATTATCTCTTATTTTTTTATTGATTTTATGTTTGACTGCACCGTGAATAGTTTAAGAATATAATCCATTCCCCGCCCCCCAGGTTTGAGAATGAATAAAGGTGCCATCACTCCTCCCCGCACTTCTCCTGCAAATACGTGTTCTCCAGAAGTCATCCATTTGAAGGATATTGTCTGCTACCTATCGCTCCTTGAAAGAGGAAGGCCTGAGGATAAACTTGAGTGTATGTATTTTTTCAAATCTAATTTACTTACCATGGATGAGGACAGAAGTAGAGAATGCATATTTATTAACCTAAAATTGAATCTACTATGATTATCTAAATTTTTGTTAAGTAATCCTAGGTAACATTAAAAAAATTTCCTTCTATCACAAACAGACCATTCAAAGATATTAAGGTTCTATTAGCGTCAGGTGTTTATTAATCAAGTTCCATTTACTACAGAATATTTCACATGAATTTATTTTTTTTTTAATGTGTCTCAGTTCTGAGCTAGCAAGATGTTATTGGAGAATATCTTTTGAGTTGTTTTGAAAACACATTTGTTTCCAGTGTGAAAAGAGGCCTTCCCTCTTTTCTCACCCAGAGGCTTCACTCAGGGGTAGACTATGTCCCCACAAACTTGAACTGTCCTTCCTTGAAAGTTTCCCTTGAAATCATCAGAAATAACACTTTTTTTTTGCCAGCCACAATGACTTCTGAAGTGCCAAATGTAAGACCTTCTTGTATAGGACTTGACTCTGAATTTTATAAATACTTAAACAAAAGATTTGTTTCTTCTACGGTATGGCAGTATTTCAGATAAGGAGAGAATTTCAATCTAGTGGACAGTAGAAAAGGACTCTCTTTAATGAAATACAGTGACTGAGCTCTCTCTGGTGGCAAACTGAACTCATTGCAATGAAAGGAAATATTTTTCATTTACTCTGTGCTTGACAACGTGATAGTCTATCCTATCTCCAAAGCCCTTTCTAAGCAAAGAGCTGGGAACTTATTCAATAGTATGATTAGCTTGATTATACTGGATATCATTAAAATGAATTAATGCTACTAAAATGGCAAGGAAGATAATCAATCCTAACTTTGTTATTTCTAGAGCAAATATAAAACTTTGTGATGTCTCAGAATAATGATTAGAAAGTATGCTTAGCTAAATTTAATACTAACTTATTGGTTATATTTCTTCTACTAATAAAGAATTTACCACAATTTAAATGCAATTATTTAAGTGTCACAGTTGCTTAGATTATGAATAAACCATAGTAACATCATTCTTTAAATATATTATTATTCATCAATGTTGAATATTTGCATTTCAAGGTATATTTTGTATTCTTAAGAACCTAAATAAATCTCTCTCATTCCAAAATAAATATTAACATTCAGTGAATCTCTATTGAAGTGACAGCCAGCAAGTTAGTTTGTTCAGGTGTTATTAGGACCATGTTTGAAATGATTTTCTAATACCAAAATGGTCTTTGGTGTTTCCATTTAATTATTTTTTGGTCAACTGGAAGTATATTTTTTTAAGGTAGAATTCCTAAGGAACATGTTTCTGAGTTTTCAGTTTCTGTCTATGAGTTTACTTGGTCTTTGTCTACAGTTGTGGGTACAATATTAGTCCACATATCATCAATATCATTTAAAGAATCAAGTCAAAATTGACCCACCATTTACCACTCTTCAGTGATACATACATCCTTTTCCTGTGTTTCTCCTTTGAGTGTTCCAAGCTCAAACCAGATTCATTTGCGTTTTCCTCCTTTCTTAATCGTTCACAGGAGCTCTGGTGGCACTGTGGTTAAAACAATGGGTTGTAAAACTGAAAGGTCAGTGTTTCAAACCCACCAGCCATTCTATGGAGAAAGATGAGGCATTCTGCTTCTGTAAAGATTTACAGCCTTAGAAACCTTATGGAACAGTTCTATTCTGTCCTACATGGTTACTATTAGTCTGAATTGACTTGATAGCAGTGGTTTATCATTCACACTACAAGCAGGCTTATTAAGGCCTATTATTACTAAAATGTTCACCAAATTCTTTAAAGTAACTGAATTTCAGTCTATAAAATGGAAAGTTATTAAGTTGTATCTATATTCTAGTTATGGTCTTGTTCTGTCCTTTACTATCTTTTAATTCATTGATCTGAACCCTGACTGCCCGTCAAAATCATCTGGAAAGTTTGTGAAAAATGCAATAATTCCTTTCCCACATCAGTTACATCAGAATCAATCTCCCTCACTTGCTTTCTTGCCAATTTATCATATATCCTTATTTTTCTATAATTGTACATTTGTAAATTCCTAACTTTCACATATTCTTTTATAGAATCAAAAACACAAAAAATTCAAACAAAAAAGGAGCTCCAGTGGTGTAATGCTTAAGGTATTTAGCTGCTAACTAGAGGTTGGTAGTTCGAACTCATCAGCCACTCCACAGAAGAAAGATGAAGCAGAAAGATTTATAATCTTAGAAACCCAACAGGGTCACTGTGAGTCAGAACCAACTTGATAGCAGTGAGTTTGGTTTTGGTTTAACTCTCACATGTTCTTTTATAGGTTACAGGTCTTTTATTTCCTCATTAAGACTTAAAGATCATTTGCTATTGTTGTTGTTATGTGCTGTTGGGTCATTGTCAACTCATGGTGACTCTATAGGACAGAGTAGAACTGCTTCATAGTTTTTCCTAGGCTGTAATCTTTATGGGAGTAGATCACCGGGTCTTTTCTCCTGCGGAGCTGCTGATGGGTTTGAACTGCCAGCATTTAGGTTAGCAACCAAATGCTTAATTATTGACCCACCAGGGTCCTTAAAGAACATTTAATGGTGGTTAATTTGTATATATACTTACTTCCACAGGAATATGATTCATTAAACAAGAAAGAAGAAGAGTAGAAAACACTTTTAAAATTAACACAGAAATTGATGTGATTAAGCACTTAATATCTTTAGTTTTTGCCAGATTCCCAGACTAACTGAATCAGAAACACTGGAGGTCAGGCTGAGAGCAATCTGGGAATCTGCATTTATCTGAGAATTTTCATTTTTAATAAGTCCCAAGTGATGGTGGTGCTGGTCCAGAGACCACATTTTGAGGAGCACTGGCTTACACAATTTCTCCTGTCCAATGAAAACACATACATCCACAGAATGTTTCTGAAATGACTAGTTTTTTTTTTTTTTTTTTTTAATGACTGATGAATGATTGCAGTAGTTTATAGGTTCTTATACCAGAAAACTTAGATAAAATAATCACATTGTTGTGGATATTTATAAAATGTTCAACTTTTTTCCCAGAATGATGCTTTATAGCTCTCTTCAGTGATTCTCTCCACTCTCCTTCTTCTATCCAGTCTTTTCTGCCAAGTTCTTCCACAATCTTTAGTATAAAGCTTATTTTCTTACAAAAAACAATTAATAATCTCCCAAAGTTTCTACTAACTATGAGCCACACCTTCACCCTCCTTTTCTTAACCCAGACCTAATTCTTCTCTGAGTACCTTGCCTGCCCTGAGGCCATTGCAGGTAGAAAGTGTTTCTGCACCTCTTCCCATATATCCTTTGGAAAATGTGTATGCTTGTGTGTGTGTTGTGGGGGCTGGTTAGAAGTGTTGGAAAATTCCATTTTTCTCTCTCCTTCTTATTGTCCCTTACCAGAATAATAATAGTTTATCTCGGAGGGTTTCTCTGAGGATTAAATGAACTACTATTTGCTCACATTGATACTGCCTTGGAATCCCAAGGAGGGGTTATAACCTTGAGTATATCCCATATGAATTTAGAGACCATCCAAAGAACAGATTTGATACATTGGACACCAATGACCAAAAACAGACCAGTTGTGGTCAAGACCATCATATATGAAGAAAGCAAAAGGTCATTAAAAAGAGAGAAAGAACCAAAATAGATATCATCACAGACTCTGAAACATGCTCTTGAAGGGAAAGTACCTGTAGTGAATGGAAGAGACGAGGACATAAAAGAGCTGAGCAAAAGATGTCAAATGATAGCACAAGAAGACAAAGTAAAGTATTAAAATGAAATGTGCAAAAACCTTGAATTAGAAAATCAAGGAGGAACAATATGCATGGCATTCGTCAACTTGAAACAACCGAAGAAAAACATTCACATTGTTCACATGTTACAATATTGAAGGCTTCTATGGGCAAAATATTGAACACTGCAGGAAGCATCAAAAGAAGATGGAAGGAATACAGAGTCACTATACCAGAAAGAATTGGTCAATGTTCAACCATTACAGAAAGCAGTATATGATCAATAGCCAATGATACTAAAGGAAGAAGTCCAAGCAGCACTGGAGGAATTGGTGAAAACAAGGCTATGGGAATTAATGGTATACCAATGAGATGTTTCAAAAAGGTATGAAACAGTGAAAACTCTCCAGTAATTGACTAAATATGGATGTACTGCTGGAGGCACTCACTCATTTATGCCAAGAAATTTGGAAGATAGCTACCTGGCCAACAAACTGTAAGAAATTTGTATCTGTGCCCATTATAAACAAAGGTGATCCAACAGAATGTGAAAATTATCAAGCAATATCATTTCACTGGTAAATAAAATTTTGGTGAAGATAAATAAAAATTATTTCATCAGCATATTGACAGGAAACTGCTAGAAATTCAAGCTTGATTCAGAAGATGGCATGGAACAGGGAATGTCATTGCTGATGTCAGATGGGTCTTGACTGAAAGCAAAGAATACCAGAAAGATGTTTACTTATGTTTTATTGACTATGCAATGGAGCATGTGTTGATCATAACAAATTATGGATAATATTGAAAAGAATGAGAATTCCTGATCATTAATTGTTCTCATTAGGAACTTGTATACAGATGAAGAGGCAGTAATTTGAACAGAACAAAGGGACACTGCATGATTTAAAATTAGGAAAGGTGTGTGTCAGGGTTGTTTCCTTTCACCATACTTATTCAATGTGTATGCTGACCAAGTAATCTGAGAAACAGGATTGCTGTTTCTGTGTATGAAGAATAACATGGCATCTAAACTGAGGGAGAATTATTAACAACCTGTGAAATGCAGATGACACAACTTTGCTTGCTGAAAGTGAAGCTCACTTAAAGCACTTACTGATGAAGATCAAAGACTACAGCTTTAAGTATAGATTACACCTCAACATAAAACAAAAATCCTCACAACTGGATTATTAAGCAACATAATGATAAATGGACAAAGGATTG